CGGACCCCGGAGCGGGCGCTTCGGAGGGCCTCCCTCGCGGGGCCGGCCTGGCAGCGGCAGCGCCTACGAGGGACAGCGGAGCCTGGCGCGAGGGACGCAAGCCGAGCACCGCCGGGGAGGCGGCCCGTCGCTTTGGAGGCCTCTGCTGTGCCCAGCCGGGGAAAGACGCGGAAAACCCAAGCGCGGGAGTCTTTAGGCTTTGCTTATCCCGCCTTTCTTACTTTTATAAACAACTCAAGGCGGCGAGCAAACCTAGACCTCCCTCCTCCCGCTGTTTCCCCACCACAACCACCACCCTGCGAGGTGAGCTGAGCTGAGCTGAGCTGAGCTGAGCTGAGCGCGGGGAGGGCCCACAGGCACCCGGCCGCTGGCGCGCCTCAGGCGGGCCCAGGACTCACCATCTCCGGCGCCAGCCCGGAGCCTTCACCCCTAGGCCCAGCTGGCTCTCAGTGGATGGTGCAAAGGATGGTGAGACCTGGCAAAGCTGAAAGACAGGCTTTGTTCAGAAGGAATCATCCCAACAGAATCATCGAATGTTTCCAGCTGCACAGTAGAAAAGCAGAAGCGAGAAACAAAAGTGAAATAGTTCCGTATTATAGGCTGCCCAGCCTGATGGAAGGTATGGATAGCAATTTCCTGGAACAGACGACAAAGAAATCCCCAACCTCTGCTGCAGGTCTAACTTAGCTAAAATGGCCATTCAAAAATGTCTGGACATGCCTTGCTGACCACTTCATATCTCTGACGATAAAGGAAGCAACAATGATGGAATCGCTATTTATACTCACCTTTTGCAATATAAAGTTAGAAATCATAGACATTACACTACCCCTGGGGCAATACAGAATATCCCCTCCCTTTTCTGCACAACCACCTTGAAAACAATAGTATTTCCCCTCTGCCTTTCCAACCCGGATCCTTCAACGCTTCCTCCCGGGGCTTGGCTTCTGGACCCTTCACCTCCTAGGTAGTCCTCCTCTGAACCTGACCCAGTCTGTCATGGTCCTTTTGGAACTCTGGTGCCCAGAACTGCATAGAACTCCGAAGGGGTCTGACCAGGGCAGATGGGACAATTATTTGAGGGATCTGGATTTTATGTTTCTCTTAATGCAGCCCAAGACTGCTGACTCATCTTTACCTTGTGGTCAGCAAGGGCACCCAGATTCTTCTCACATGTTCTACTGCCAAGCCAGGTCTCCCCTATCCTATGCTTGGATCATTTTGAATCTTCTCTTTCTCCTTTACAGAATAATTTGTTTTGAAAAGCAAAAACTGTTAAGGCGGGTGGTAGTAATGCCCCTGAGTAACACTGTCTCTTCACCCATCTTCAGGAACAATTCTATCTTCCACAGGACAGTCCTTCAGCTACCATGTCTCCCCACAGTCTTGGGAGATACCCAGCTTCTCAAAGTGTTTTGTGCATACTGTTACCTAGTACAGTACCCACAATATCATTCTCATGCCCTTGATTTTTCCTACCCAAATAGACTTCGTATTTTTCCCAGTTGAAATTCATCTTGCAACTTTCTGCCTATTTTTCCAGTTGATATATATTAAGATCCTCTTGAATCTTGATGCTGTTCTCTAAGATGTTTGCTATCCCTTTTATGTTACCTACAAATTTGGCAGCCATATTTTCAAACCCCTCATCCAAGCCATGTATAAATGTGCTAAATAGCACAGGGCTTAGACTGGGGAATGTCATTTAAATCTGAGAGCCCACACTCCTCTGGCTTGAAGCAAAGGAGTGACATGCATTCTTTGTGTACAATTATTCAACTAACTCCACTGATCTCCAACTCCATTTATCACTGATAAGCCCAGCCCATTTTTTCCATCTTTTCATGGGAAACATTGGATGCCTTGCTGAAGTCAAGTACGCAATTCCTGTAGTCGACTAAATTCATCTCATTCAAGAGATCAGGTTGGCTTGGCATGCTTTATTTGTGAAAAACCCATGCTGGCTCTCACCAAGCAAGGCATTATCTTCTAAATGTCCACAAACTAATTTAATCTCTTCCAGAGTTTTGCCTGGTATCAACCTCAAGCAAACCAGTGTAATTAACTGGGTCCTCTTTTTTTTCCCATCGTTGAAGGTAGAAACAGCATTTTCTCCAGTTCTCTAACACTATGCTCATTCTCCATGATTTCCCATAGACCCCAGAAGGGGTCTGCAAGCTCCTTCTGGGCTCTCAGATGCAAGTGGCCTGGCCCTGGAGACCTGAACTTGTTCACAGCTAGATGCTTCCTGGGCATCTCTTTATTACTTGGGTTGTCCCTCCCTCCTTGTTCTCCTTAAGTCCATCTGAACAAGTTCTTGTTTGGAGACAAGACCAAAACAAAGCAGGCATTAAGGAGCTCTTCCCTCTCTGTCACCTTTTACTATCCTATTTCTCCTACCAGTGGACCTACTCTTTCCTTTTACTACCAACACAGCCAAAAAAGACCTTTTATGACTTCCTTTGCCAGCCTAAATTTAATTTTTGCTTTCTTTCAGCAGTTACTAGCTATTTGCTGGTCCACCTCCTTGATGATTGTACCCATCTTCCAGTTTCTTTTAATTCTTAGCTCAGCTGACAGCTGCATCCATAACCATTTCCTAAGCTGTTTGTATTTTTTCTCATGTTGCGTGATTTACTTCCAGTATATAGTTTTTGACACATTTTCGGCCCTCCTATACTGCATTTGACACAAGGAGTTTGATCTGTGAGAGCACCTCTCTCAACTTGTTAAAACTGGCTCTCCTAAAATCTAGTGGGCTTGTATGTATGCTCCAATTTTCTTTTGGTAGAATCTTTTTGGGTAAAAACACCCAAACTCAAATATTAATTTCCACCCAAAAGTTCCCATTCTTTCAGTTCCTCATCCTACTTTTTCCCATTGGTTAGGATCAGAAGTCAGACAGCCAATCCCTTTGTCTCTCCTCCAACCTTCAGGAAAACGAAACACTCAGCAAGACCGCTGAGGAAGTTTGGGGATCTCTCAGTTTTGGCTGAATAGTTTTTCTGGCATATGTCCAAACAGTTGAAGTTTTTCATTAGGGCTATAGCTCTCTTCCCTGAGTGTTCTGCAATCTGGCCCAGAAGGGTATTATCTATAATTTCTGCCTGGCTTGATGGTATATATTATACCCTTACAATAATAGATTTGCTGTTTCCATTTCCTTGTATAGTTAATCACTGTCAGCTGGACTCTCAGTGCTCATTTTCTTGGATCTCAGTGCTTGCGTATCCTTCCTTCACACAGGACACTCCTTCTCCTCCTCTCCTTTTGCCTGGGATATTCCTTTGGAATAAATTGTACCCTTCAATCCTTGTATTCCAGTTACATGTTTCGCCCCATCAGGTTCCAGTAATCCCTACTAAATCACATTTACCTTCCTGCATTAAGACTACTAATTCTTCCTGTTTGTTCTGCACACTTTGCGTTGGTGTAGAGATACTGAAACTCTTGGGTTGTGTAACTAGATCGATTCATTCTTGTATTGACATGTATATTATTGGATGCTTCCATATTCTGCATACCACCACCCCCTACTCCTGTTTCTGGTACTTGGCATTACACTATTTTCATAGTGTTCTTCTCCCTCCCTGACAAAAGATTCAGTTTAAAGCCCTCTAGATCAGGTCTGCAAGTCCAGTTGGAGCAAGTTCCAAGGTGATTTTCTCTTCAAGCTCAATCCCAGCCAAGAGTAAACAGCTGCTAATGAAATGTAAGAAAGAGGAACATTGGGAGTAGTAACCATGGTGTTTTGGGATTTGTGATAGTTGGTAGGATTTCATGCCTAAAAATTCTTAAGGAGAAAAGAGTTCAAGAGGCCTTCAAGAGAATGCAAACTAAAAATATTGACAACATCAGGAAATACCATTTTCCTTTAAATGAGTTTACATTTCCAAGACCAGAAAAATTGCATCCTAGGATACTGAAGAAACTAGCTGATTGGTCTGGCAAGTCCCTTACGGGTTCTTTGAGAAATTCTGGAAGATAGTGAAATAGTAGTTCATTGGAAGAGAGAAAATGTTATTCTTATCTTCAGAAATAAAGAGGGAAAGGATGATTTAGGAAATTACCAATCAATCTGACTTCTGGGGAAGAAATGGTGAAGGACTTGAGATCGCCCACAAGTGCTCCAGACAGTTGTGCCTCGTGAGGAGACTGTAAGACAGCGGGCTCCAGTGGGTTTCGAGCTCTGGGAGAGGAGGAAATAGCCATCTTGCTCAACCCACAGTCAGCACCTTCAAAAGGACACTGGGTTCACATACTTCCTTTTTTAATCAGTTTTGAAAAGTCCTTGTTAACTGCTTTTCAGATATTAGGAACCTTCGGATTGACAAGTCTGAAAACACCAGGTAAGTTTCCTTCAATCCTTAGCAAAAGAAGTTTTAAATACAAGTTTAAGGATTAAAACACAATTGGGGGGGGGGGGATGAACAGCAAAAGGGTGATTAGAATTTTGATTTTGG